GCAATTCCCAAAAGATGAGGAGAAGAGAGAACCTGTTGCGGCAGTAAGTTTATTGATCATCATCAGAGCTTCCATGACCTGGTTCATCTGAGTCTTTAATTGACTATCTTCGTTCTCGAAGAAATTTTTGACTGCAGGCTAAAGCTTGCATGTATATCACTCAGAGCTATTCCATAACCGATCCATGAACAAGTGCAGTAAGAAATCAAGTTGAACCTCTGAGGAGAACACATGGTCTGAGAAAGAATCCCCAATCTTCGAGTACTATTATGAATGCATGATATGCATGGAGTGCATGAATGGATTCCATGTCATGTTCCTTCATTCCCAAGGAAGTTACGTGCTTTGATTTTGATTTTACGTAAGTAAAAGATGGAAAGGTCCAACAAAAGGCTTGCAAATATGATTCCTTGGAAATAATAGAACATGTATGTTAAGCATGTGGTTAACCATGTTATGTATGCAAAGGCATGAGATCAAATGGGATCAAGGTTCCATCATTTCTAAATATGATTGCTGCACTACTTCTGAACCATACAAGTATCATCAAGTCAAAGGTTCGTCATAGCTTCCGCACATATAAGAACCAAGTACCATGTAGATCTCCCATTGTACGGGGTCAAGGCTTATGGAGCATCGGATACTGTTGAGCATTTTCTGAATATGCTGGGAATTCCAAGATCGAAGGCCTGAATGAACCTCCAAGTATACAAATCAGGAAGTCAGAAAATAAACCTGAGAACCATATAGTCACCAACAGAATATAGCATCTGAATAAGTCACCAACAGAAATCCAAAACATAACCATTAGAACCAATAGTCACTATCTGATCATAGTCTCCATCTGAGCATGAGTAACCATTTGAACATAGTCACCAACTGTACCTGTAATAATAATTCCCTCCCCACTCACGGGTGAAGACTAGGTCAGGGTAAGGCAAGGGTAACTCGAAAATCACGGGTCCGCCTGAAAGTACTACCGCCTTATCCACATACAAGGGTGTCGCTAGCAATTCATTTGAACCTCATCCGAGCATGGTATGTAACATGACTGCCCTAATCGGACCATGTCCTATAGCCGTCATGCCCCCACTCTATTCCTAGTGTCCTAGTGCACTCTGGCCTGGGTACTGGGCCTTTTACCTCAATAGTAACACCTTCCAACATGGAAAACCAGAATCCAGCATAATAGATAACCAATATGGGAAGCAATAAAATGCAATGCAAGTTTATGCTCAGATAAACATGTACAAATGAGTACTTAAAGCATAAAAATAAACACCCAAATAAAAGAAAACAAGAGCTAGGAGCGACTCCGGGATGGACCAGCATTTGGTCGACCTATCCCCAGTGAAGTCGCCAGCTGAAACAACCGGCTAAAAATCATCAAACAATGAAGTCGCCATCGAACGTCTTTTATTCCATATGGAGGGAAAGGTAAACATCGAGAAAACCTGAGAAGGGAGAAGTCAAGGTCTTGCGACCGAGAGATCGGATAAGGGAGTCTGTTACGCGAGGGGAAGGTATTAGCACCCCACATGCCTGTAGTACTCTACGGTATCCACTCTTGTTATTTATCTTATAGGTGTGTTCAATCTATGCTTACTGTTACTATACTACTAAAGGGAGAATGTAGGGAAAATAAAATTATGCTTGCTTAGGCTCTACCCCGATGCCTATGTATCCTTTTTGAGGAATCAGAGCAGCCGTAGTTTGGCTCATATGTTTTTTTTGGTTTGTATTTTTTAATGAACAATATTAATTTCTCCTTCTGCTGCAACTCGACCTTTGGAGACTTACGCGTCAGCACAGAAGTGAATTAACATGTCCTTTTGAAAAAGTTTGGAGAAAAGGTGCTTAGGCGCACAAAAAGGTTTGAATTGGTTTGGTTTTTTTTAATGAACAAATATTAATTTCGCCTTCTTCCGCGACTCGACCTTTGGAGACTTACGCGTCAGCACAGAAGTGAGTTAACATGCTCTTTCGAAAAAAGTTTGGAAAAAAGGTGCTTGTGTTTGTTGGTGTTTTTGCTTGTGGATAACATCTAGTTGACCTCAAGAGAGATATTTTAGCCATTTCTCTACTTATTCATGAAATACTTTTTTGAGATTTGAACCACACCAAAGCTTAGAATAAGAGAACAATAAGGTCGAGAAGAAACCCGCTTATCATCTCTCATACTTAACAAATATATGATTCTCATCAGTAAATTTTTTTAAGTATTTTGAAGTTTGTAAGAAAAAGAAGTTTTTGTTTTAATGTATATGCAAAAAGGGGAAAGAAAAGTCAAAGGGAGACTAGCCTATTTCTAAACCTAATGTTGTCATACAATGGTAGCCCTAAGTTCAGGATGAATGGAAAGGAAATATCTACCTAACGTTAGCATGCATGGTTTACAACCTAAGGTCTAACTTGCGTCCAAATGGAGCAAGTGCATCCTAAGGGAACAAGGTATGTACAAGGACGAAGTAAACAAGCTAATAAGCTCAAAATCACACTTGGAGAGAGTACACCTAAAGAGATCTTATCTAAGTTAGCATGCCAAAGAAAGTCTAACAAAACTATCCTATAGGGAACATGCAATGAGAGCGAAGTCGTGATCTCAATTTCTAAATTGAGTGACTCATCGATCAAAAAGAAATAAATGAAAGCGATAAATTCCTATAGGGAGCATGCACTGAGAGCAAAGTCGTGATCTCAATTTCTAAATTGAGTGACTCATCGATCAACAAGAAAGTAAACAAACACAAGCACAACACATATAGCAAATGAAGTGCGGAATGCCTACTACAGGTCTTTAAACAGCGACTTCGAGCGCACACTCTTTATTTCCTACTTCTCATGGTATCTAGAAAAGCGGTAAAGTGAGGAAATGAGGAATAAAATGAGGTTGTGATGATACCAAATGGAGAAGGTCTGTTGCCTCTTTGAAACCGTGCAAGCAATAAGAAAACTCTACCAAAAGATGCTCTGCGCGAGTGATCAAAGAATTAATCTCCCAGCATTCCACATTGCAAAAGTTGCATCAATATTCTATCACAAAATCTTAGTTAAAAATGACAACAAAAATGATTAACAAACATGAAAATAATAGAAAACTCTAATAAAATTCCAAAGAGAGGTCCTAAAGAATTCTAAAATGTTCTAATATTTTTGTATCATTTTTATTATCAATTAAGAGAAAAAATAAAACTAAAAGAAAAACTAAAAATAAAAAAAAGAAGTTAGAAAATTCAGGGGGGTGTATGCTGGAACCCGGGTGGTAAGCTCAACAATTAACTCTAGACATAATGTCCATACAATAATGTCCATGAACTAGTTTTTTTTACATTAAGCTGTTAACTAAAAAAAATGCCCACAGGCCAAAACAATGAGGGTGGTTCGGCCCATGCTGCAAGTCCAAAGCTTAATTTTTTGTCTATTAAAAATTTCATACTTTTCAGAGAAAAAAAACATATGCGGGCCCAGACAAGGTAGCGGTCCAGGTGCAACTTTTTTGTCATGTTATTCTCAATCATTCTCACAAAAAAAAAGTAATGGGCCTATGGAACAGGATCTGGTCCAAGGCCATATGAATTTCACTATCAAACTTCTCATTCTCCATTATCAGCATGATCTACTCATAAAAAGGAATTTCAAGGAATTAATAAAATTAAAGCGACGCTGTTTTATGAAGGAGATAAGGATAGACCTTGAGGTGGTTCAACCTCATACGAGAACCCAAAATTCTTTTCTCTTTGAACTCAAGGCAAACTCGTGGCCGGAGCAACGATGATCGCGGAGCCTGGTGATCAAGCACGAACAAAATCACGTCGCTAGCTTCACTTCTATGTTCTGATTCTAAATTCGCCTATGATCACTGTCGATTCGAAACCATGTTTCTTCAATCGACGATGGAAGCGACGATGAACAAAATTTACTTTAGGTATTCCTTCCTCCTCTTTTGCTTCTTCTTCTTCATCTATCGTTCTTCTTCTTCAATCTCCCTGATTCTTTGTGTTGGAGAGGTCGTGCAAGCTAATGGAGAACGGAAGAACATGATTGAGGATTATTCAAGCTTTGTGAAGTTTTTGTTGATGCTGAGATTGAAGTAGAGGTGTTTCTGATGCGTGATGAAGATGTGAATTAGCTAGTTACAGATTAATCTTTGATAAAGCTCATATAGTGTGAAAAGATGTCGAAGATTCAGCGGAAATGAGAATGAACAGGAGAAGCTGAGGAAGAATTGCAGAGACAACTGAAGGTGATTTCCAAGAGAGCATACAAAGGACTCGTGAGAAATCTGCAGAGAGGATCAAAATAGAGCTTGTACCGAAGAGAGAAAATCCAGATCATCTGGTGAGTTTTTCTAGGTGAATCAATCGTGAATCTCTCTCCCTTTTTGTTACAGTTTTGTTGAATTATGTTGATAGTTTTTGGTTGTTGTTGAATATGCAGGTGGTTGAAGTCTTTATCGTCGTGATTGGTACTGATTCGATAGTTATAGCAGAATCATCCAGATGTTGTTGCAACTTCTTGAAGATATAAAGTAGTTGCAGGGATTTAGTTCAGCAAGAACGCAAGGAGATTTTCTGAGTTTTTTAATGAATGACGGTAGTTTTGGAAAGATCAGAAAGAAGATGGAGATGGAGTGGTGGTGAGGTTCTGTGAAGCTTGTTGTAGATTGTTGAAGATGATGATTCGTGAGGATGATGATGAAGAAAAATGGAAGGGAAAGTGAAGGATTAAAGGTGATGATGAGGTTGAAGCGTGAAGGTTGAAGATTAAAGAGAGAATGTAGAAGATGAATTCTAAGAGAAAGGTGAGAGAGAATGTTGAGAGCTTTTTCCGTGTTTTTACGATTCTTCTTGAAGATTAAATATGTAAGATGATGATGAGAGGAGAAGAAAGAGTGATGATGATCAAGAGTGAAGATTGGGAGAGTCCCCGCAGGAAGAAGAGGAAGAGAAAATTTTAGAGAATTTCTTCTGGTATTTTTTTCTGTTCTCTTTGAATGAATCATGAACCATCCCTTTTTCTTTTGTTCTGTACTTGTTATCCCACTGCCTTTCTGTTATGCTCTCCCTTTCTCCCAGAAGTTTTTGTTAGAACTTGTTTTTACAGTTAGAAATTGGTTGAGATTTTCTGTTATGACAGTTGGTGAGTTAGTTATAGATTGTTTGGGTGGAGGTTAGTTGGGAATAGGGTAGGAGACTAGAAGAAGTTGGTTAAATTCGGTTAGTTTGTTATGAATTCTGTTGAAGTCTGTTTTGACAGTTAGCCAATGGTTTAAGGAAATTTGGGTTTATGTTTTTGATCCTGTGGACATTTAGGATAGGAGCTGTTATGGAATCAGTTAGGTAGTTAGAAGATTAGTGAAAATTCTATCATGGTTTTCATTAGTTTATTATGCTGGTTTCCTGTTATGCAGTAAGTCGTTAGGGATTCTATTGCGATTCAATTAGTTATTTTTCTGGTTTTCTATTTTATGATATTTCCTTTTACATCTTCTGTGAGTATTCTCTATCAATTGTGAATAAAAATCGAGATTGAGTCCCCTTTTCCCTCTCTGGTTTTATTAATGCAGGCTGCATGTTTGGATAATTGACATAGGGTTGAACTATTGCGCAGACCCTTTCTTAATGCACATGGTTGGTCTGTTGTATGTTTTAAGCAGCAGGGTATTGCTTCTGTTTATGAATGTTTAAATTTCCTTGATGTCGCATATGCACTAATCTGGTTCTGAATGTTGTTAGAAGTTTTGTTTGCAGGTTAAAAAAATGGAAAAGTTGGAAACGGTTAGAAGTTGGTTAAAAGAAGTTTTGTTGAATCGTTAGTTCTGTTAGGACAGAAACTGTTAGTTAGTAGCAGTTAGTTAGCTGTTAGCTTCTAATATTATTAGAGCAGTTAGTTTTATGAATTGCCTTTTTGTATTGTCTTGGCTTGGGTATATGGTTTTTCATGTACAAGTTGTCATGTCATGATGAAGGTGATATTGCAGGCCTGGTGCATAATTAACGAATGGTTAATACAAGAAGCCGTCGTAGGTTCACGACATGGCTGGCATTTCTTGGTAACATATCTTTAGCTTTATTTTTGAATTTTGTCATAACCTGAGCTTAACGACCTTACGGGTACATGACAGGGCAGCGATGCGTATTAATTCCTTTGTGTTATGCAGGTCTGAGCATGGCGCACGAAATGCTTATGGCTTACAGGCAGGTCCATCTGTTAGTTGACCCTTAGATCTTTAAGGAGATCATGGACATCAGTTGAAGAATAAAAAGTTAGGAATAGGTTTAGGAGCAAAGAAGAACATAGGTTTAAATCTTAGTAAAATTTTGTGTATTTTTGATATGATGTAATGCATTGGAACCTTGAATGGACTTGAATGGACTCTTGAACTTTAACCTTGAATGACGACATATATTTGTAAAAAAACGATGATGATTTGTACTCGAAGCTTGCAACTTTGATGACTGAGTTGTATTTTTGTAACTTCAGTGTAGTGACTTTAATTTGTAATGAACATGGTGTATTATAGTACCTGAACTTTGAATGAGAAGGTTTTGGATGAGATTTGGATGGATTTTGAATGGTATTTGAGTGATACTGAAAGTGATAACTTGAACCAAATTAATCACTTGAATGGAATTATAATGAATGACTATGTCTTGCCATTTGTATCTTATCTTTTGCATTCTAAGAAACCCTTATGATTGAGGTCTTCAAACTCGCTTGAATCAAATTCTTGAAAACAAACCAATGCTTAGATTTCTTTAATACCATTTGATTATCCTCTAAGAACTTTACTTCATAACTCAGTGAACGAATTCCAACCAACTTGCATATTCAATGAACCGGTCCTGAACTCAAGATATGACATAACATTCAATCGAATCAATAATATTCATGCATGAAATCAGTCAAGAAAACAACCTCTCCATATTGAAATTGCCCAAAATAAAAGCCTTTATGTGAAATCAAGCTTCTCAAATAAAGCTTTTGTTTTGATGAAGATAAACCATGGCTTACAAAAGAAGGCAAAGACTTTGGTCAAGCATCTAAGTATCTAAGGATAATATCTTCAATCAAATCTCTCTACAACTTTAAAGGTATAATAATATTATCTACTTTGATCTTAAGATATAGATGCTCAAAAATGAAAAAGAAATAGTTTAAGAATCATTCTCAAGCTTTGCAAAGATTATTTTTCACTTTTCATATGCATGCAATCGATTTACATTTTAGTGCAATCGATTGCACTCTTCAAAAATTACAAATCTTTTGCTTCTGTTTCTTGATGCAATCGATTACATAGTTTGTGCAATCGATTGCACACTTAAAAATTTCAAAACATTTGATTCTGTCTTAGCATGCAATCGATTACATAGTTGGTGCAATCGATTGCACTCAGTTAAATTTTGCTACTGACTTAGCCTGCAATCGACTACATTGTTTGTACAATCGATTGCACTCTTAAATTTTTGAAAATATAGCTGTTGAAAACCTTGTGCAATCGATTACACTAAAGGTGCAATCGATTACACACTGCACGAATTTGAAAAATAACAGCCTTGTTCATGCCTTTTGATCATGCCTTTTCATTACATCTTTTCACTCAAACTTGGCATTTGTTCATGATACATTTCCAGATCTTCATGGTGTTTCAAAAGGGTGTTATGAACATATAAATATCCAATTTCAAATTCATATCTAACACCTTCTTTCATAATATTTTTCTGAACTTTAAAAATACAAACTCAAGCATTCTTCACTTTCACGCATAAGTTTTCTGCATTTATTTTCATACTTTAAAATAGAAAACTTTGAGCAAATATATCTTGAGTCTTTGTACAATATTATTATTGAAAGAAGAAGATTATACATTGTCAAAATCACTCTTATGTGATCAATATACTCTACTCACTCAAACTCACAAATTGTATTTACTTACTTAATTTCCAAGATTGTTGGAATTAAGTTTAAGTGTTTTTGTTGAAATCTTGTCTTTCCAAGTTGTTGGATACAAGTGTAGTTACATTGAGAGGATTGTTCTCAAAAGAAATTTAGTGAAAATACAAGAGGATTGTTCTTGGTCCAAGGGGATTGTTCTTGGTTTTGGTTGGTAGTTCTTACGTAAGTTTGCCACAATAAGGAAATCTCTTTCATGTTGAAAGGGGACTGGAGTACTCTCAGACTATGAGGGGAACCAGGATATATCGCCCGTGTCTCTTTATTTTTCTGCATCTTTAAGCTTTCCTAAACTCACTTATAACCAGAAAAATAAGAACCATCATCACTAAAAACCATAAATTTTAAAAGTACCTAATTCACCCCCCCTCTTAGGCGCACTTCGTACTTATAATTGGTATCAGAGCAGGTTATAGGTAACCTGCTCCTAAAAGATCCAGAATGGCTTCCGCAAATCATAATCCCCTTTTCAGAGATGGTGGTAGTAACAACAAGCCTCCTCTACTCTGTGGTGAATATTTTGACTTCTGGAAAATACGCATGAAGGCGCATCTAGAAGCACAAGGAGAAGAAATTTGGGATGGTGTCGAAAATTGTCCATTTATCCTGGTTACGGTAATCAATGGTGTTGGCTCTTCAAAGCCTAAAACTGCATGGGACGACGATGATAAAAAGAAAGTTCTCTATGACAAAAAGGCAATAAACCTTCTTCAAGGTGCGCTTAGTATGGACGAATTCTTCCGTGTCTCGACATGCAAAACAACAAAGGAAATATGGGATACCTTGGTACAAACTCATGAAGGAACGACTGAAGTAAAAAGATCAAGGCTAAATACCCTAAGTCAAGAATATGAACTATTTCGAATGCAGCCCGAAGAATCCATTCTTGACTTACAAAAGAGATTTGTGCACTTGACAAATCATCTAAGTGCTCTTGGTAAAACTTTGACAAATGATGAATTGAATCTGAAAGTACTTAGGTCCTTAACAAGGGAATGGCAACCAAAGGTAACGGCAATTTCAGAAAAGAAAAGTCTCTCCAACATGACATCCGCAACTCTATTTGGAAAACTTGAAGAATACGAAATGGAACTCGAAATACTCGAAAAGCATGAAAATCAAGAGAAGAAATCCAAGAATATTGCTTTGAAGATAAACTCCAAGGAAGTTGAAAAGGAAAACAATCCAGAAGAAGATGAAAACTTCATGCTTCTTGTTAAAAGGCTTGGTAAGTTCTTCAGTAGAAATGAAAAACCTTTTTCTCATTCAAAAGGAAAGAAACATTTTCAGAAAAAGGAAGGCTCCACATCAACATAAGAAATCACATGTTATGAATGTGGTAAGCAAGGTCATATCAAGCCAGATTGTCCAAAACTCTCCAAGAAAGGTGGCTTCAAAAGCAAGAAGGGATTCAAGAACAAAAAGGCTTATGTATCATAGGAGGACAATGAAATAAGTTCCTCATCCGGTTCCGATAATGATGAAAGTGAAAATCTAGCATTGATGGCCTCACACCATTCCGATGATGAAGACAATGAGGTTCGTAATGAATTTTTTATTTTTGATAGTGATGCACAAGGTGCTATAGATGAACTATTGAATGAATGCAAAATTTTGTATAAAACAATTTCATCACAAAAGAAACAAATTTCATCTCTAGAAGAAAAGTATGTTTCGATGGAAAAAGATTTCAAAGAAGAAAAACAAAAATCAAGTGATGAATAAAAACAGAATTTTGTATGCAAAAATTATGATTCACTCTCTTTCCAAATTGTCCAATTAAAAAGAGTCATTGAAAGATATGAAAAGGGCAAATTGGATTGGAAGGTGTTCTTAGCCAACAAAGATACTCCAATGATAAAAGTGGACTTGGATATTCAAAGTTCTCAAAACCAAGTTCTAACAAAACTATCTTTGTTAAGGCAAGTGATCAATCTTCCAAAGAGAAAGTGAACAAACCTAAAATAGTTCGTCACTATCCGAAAAAGAAAACATTTCCTAAGAAGAAATCTTATCCTTCTAGATATAGAAGTAAATTTGAACCTACTTGTTTTTATTGTGGTATTAAAGGCCATACACCTAATGCTTGCTATGTTAGAAACTTCAGTGTGGCAAGTGGGCATTATGTATGGGTAAAGAAAGGCACTAATTATGAAGAACCCAAAGCAACTTGGGTACCTAACAAAACCTAATTTGTTTTGTAGGTATGCTTGAAGACCACATGCAATCTTTGGTTTCTTGATAGTGGTTGTTCAAAGCATATGACAGGAGACATAAACCAATTTTCACATCTAGCGCTAAAGGCCAAGGGTTTTGTCACTTATGGAGACAATAATAAGGGAAGAATCCTAGGCAAAGTCAAAGTTGGTGCTCCACCTTTCACATCCATTGAAGATGTTCTTTATGTTGAAGGACTAAAGCACAATCTTCTAAGTATTAGCCAACTTTGTGACAAAGGCTTCAAAATCAAGTTCACCAAGGATGAATGTTTGATAGAAGACGAAGTCACTCATGAGGTTATACTTAAAGGTAAAAGAGTCAATAATATATTTATGATTTCCCTTGATGATCCATCTTTGAAGGTTAAATGTCTCATGGCGAACAACGATGATTCATAGCTTTGGCACAAAAGAATTGCTCATATTCATATGGAACACTTGAATAAATTAATCAAGCACGATCTTGTCATTGGATTGCCTAAGAGAAATTTCGTCAAAGATAGACTATGCGATGCTTGTCAAAAAGGGAAACAAACTAGATCAACCTTCAAATCTAAGAATGTGGTGTCCACTACAAGGCCACTACAATTGTTACACATGGATCTATTTGGTCCATCGAGAACAAGGAGTTTCAGAGGTAATGTATATGCTTTGGTTATTGTTGACGATTTCTCTAGATATACTTGGACATTCTTTTTAGTGCAGAAAAGTGATGCATTCAAGGCATTCAAGAAGTATGCTAAACAAATTCAGAATGAGAAGTCTTTAACAATTGCCTCAATAAGAAGTGACCATGGTGGAGAATTCCAAAATGCTCTATTTGAAGAATTCTGTGGAGAACATGGAATATCTCACAACTTATCGGCACCAAGGACCCCACAACAAAATGGAGTGGTTGAAAGAAAGAATAGGTCTCTTGTGGAACTTGCTAGAACCATGCTTAGCGACTCAAATCTTCTAAAATACTTTTGGGCAGATGCGGTGAGCACGGCAT